TTTGCAGATTGTCTTTGTCTACTTGATGGCCGTTTCAATCAACTTCGCACATTCAATGTTAAAATTAGATCCATTCATTATTCATTTGTAGTGATGAATAATAAAGTAAGTTGATCTTACAATGACGTAAGAGTTATCATAAAAACAAATAATTTATTTATTAAATGTATCATTGATATATTTTCTCTTAATATTTACTATATATATTGTTTATCTTTTTAGGAAAACCTTCCTAATTTAAGATCTTTTTCTTTTACATGTGCTAGTGGTCCTAATTATTATGAGGTTTTCATTGTGCCACTTGTTCATCGAATGTTAAATCTCGAAGAACTCGCTTTATATTTTTTCACCAGTACTGAAATATTCATTGATGGAAACAATTTGAAAAAGAATATTATCGATCATTTACCACGATTAAATAAATTTCTATTTAATATTTGTTCAACTATCTATCTTCGTGATCAAGCTACTTATTTACCATCAAATGAAGAAATTCAACAAACATTCATAAATTTCATGAACAATAAAATTATTACTTGTGTCGATTATTTTCCAAAACAGTATAGTGGTCAATGTCGTATTTATTCATATCCATACACAATGAATTATTATCGTAAAATTACAAATAATTGTCCAGGTGGATTATTTAAATATGTTTGCGAAGTATCATTATTTGATGAAAGTCCTTTTAAACATGAATTTTTTCTTCGAATTGCTCAATAATTTCCATTTCTTAAAGTATTATCTGTAAATAATCAGATACCTCAAAAGTATAAATAATGTCGAACATCAAATGATGACAATCAAGATCCTTTAATTATTAAATATTTTCATCTTATCGATCTTACTCTTCTGTGTGTTCATGCTGATTATGTTGAGCAATTTCTTGATCCTACTAAAACATCTATATTGAATAATATCTCACTTTATGTTGATTATTATCGTCTACGAAAAGCGACACACAATTTCAAACGAAATGATATGCGAATCAATTGTTCTAAAGTGACTAATTTACGTCTTTTTGGCAGTTTTCAAATTCCTAAACATTTCAAAGCTTATTTTCCTAATGTAAAACATCAATGATTTTTGCGGATGTGGATGTGGATGTGTGGGTGCGGATGTGGGTCGCCTGTTCGCCTACACACCCAGCCACGCTCACATCCACATACACCCACATCCACACCCACACCTTCGACGCAAAAGGAATATTATTAAAATAATAGCATGTGTATTGCAGTGGTGGTTCTAGGATTTTTTTTATAGGGAGCAATTTTGATCAGAAAACGAGTTTTGATGTGTATTAGTGGTAGTATGAATTTGACTTTTTAGCCCTTTCTGCTGGAAAAAATCAAAAACTTTTTTTTTCGAATAGGGGTAATCGCCCTTCCCCTTAAATCGGCCACTGGTATACTGATATTCCAATGACATCTACACTCGTCATTTATTGATTGACCAAAATAAAATGTCTTTGGAAAACGATATGATTATGATAATATTTAAATAAACCTATAGAAAATTATGCATCTAACATTTTGAAATTCTTTCTCACTATAAAAATTATAATTTTTGTAGGCATTCTGAGCACAAGGACTGATCAGTTCGAAAAAAGTCATGTAAGAATATTTATTTTGATTTTTGGTTCTTATTCATTTCTTTTTCTTTCGTTGCCTTCATTTACTTTTTCTTTCATTGAAACATCGTATTTTAAAAATTTTTGTTGTTGCATATAAACAAACATACTTCGAGTTTTATTGTATAAACTGTCGTCTTCTACCTGTTGCTGCAGCATATATTTCCTCGAAAACTGGTCATGAATTTAGAACAAACTACAACAATAACACTTTCATGTGATATATCCAAAGAACACTCAGGACCTACAATGATTCATAGTACGGGAGTTCCAAATTATCAGATTCATCCAATGCAAATTTACATTTTGCAAGATGCATTTCCAAACGACGAAATACGAAATGACAGTCAAGGCGTTTTGTACAGTGTTCCACCAGCAAATGTTATTGAAGCACTTAAAGACTCTGGATTTTCTGTAATATCGACAAAGACGTCTGGTGTTCGCAAAGTATGGGTATTATCACTTGAAGGTAGCGGCAGTGATGATGGTGGAGACGAATGAGGAGATTGAGAAGAAGAAGAAATAGAAGACCGAGTTCAATTATTCGGAATGGTTTCGAAAAAACATTAGATTTTCATTTTTTGTCTAGTTAAAAATCCAAGTATAAATCTTGTTTAATAAAATCTAGGAGAAAGATGAATTTATGATTTCTTTTAACAGAAGTCGACGTTACACTCGTGATGAAATACTCATTTCAAATATCATTTCATCGGCATCATTCGAGCATATATTTTTTGAATCTGATGAATCAATATGTCTTGATAATACTTTCAGTAGTGAGTTTTATGCGAAACACTCATCACCAATTGTGGGAAACATTGATTTACCCCAACACAATTGAAAGTTTTATTTTTTATTCTGTATGAAGAAACATATTCTGTATTTGCAAACATTCGCCACAACTTTGGGATAGTGATGGAGAGGCTTTGCTTTTTCAAAAAAAAAACTAAAATTACTTTTTTTTTACATTCTGTAAAAAGGAATCAATGCGTCTGTTGTGTAAAATACCGTCAATGATTGCCTCCATCAATGGTTTACTGCTTTGTTCCACCACTCATGTAAATGACTTTCAGAGTCTTTTGAAAAGAAAATACATCAAGGATTACATAATGAAAACTTTATTGATCAGAATATATTCAAATTTGGATGTAGCTGATATGAACAGATTCAAAGCCTATGCTCTAGTCTTGTTGGCAACTTCGATGTCAAATAGCTACAAGAATCGATATGATTTCTTTCAAAAAACATTTTCATTTGATTTTTTTTCAATGAAGACTAGGAGAGTGAGCTCATCTCGTTAAATATGATGAATTTCCAACTTTTGATGGCTTTAGCTCAGTCGTCGAAAATCGTGTGTCAACAGAAGCATAATGCGTGCAAGTGCGACATACTGATTATCAGATTTGTGTATTCAAGGGGGTGAGGGTGAGTATATAAGAGAATTCCAAGCTACTTACGACGATCGTTTCGAACCTTGCTTAAGGGTTCATTATCAGCTAAGTTTGAAAAATATACTACTCAATAGAATAGAAGATTGCAGAATTCAGAGGATTGACACGACGCGTTTCGTCCTTTCTCAAGGGACTTATCAAGTATCTTTAGAATTCTATTACTACATCATCAAGACTCTCCAACAAAATGAAGAAGGTAAGATGAGTGTGGGGTGTCGGTGTGGGTGGATGTGTGGGGGGTGTGGGGTGTATGGGTGTGGGTGGGTGTGTGGGTGTGTGGGTGTGAATTTGGATCTGGACCTGGGCCTGGGTATAGTTCTTCTTTCACAGATACACATGGTTTCAGACCCACACCCCCACATCACACTCACACCCCATATCCACACACCCTTTTCTTCAAGATAAGATTTCTCGAAATTAAGCTTTTTTTGAGGGCTTATACTGCGTGATACAGTTCTGATTCTTATGGCAAGTGATATAGGACACTTCAATACATCGTTAGTAATGAAAAGCTCGAAATCGAAGAAAACCAGTTTTTCCGGCAAGGAAGGGTAGGTGTTCCTCCTAGGTGGGAATTAATATCAGATTACTTTACTAGCAAAAGTAAAACCTAGAGAAAAAACAACAACGCACATGAAGTCAAAAGAAATGTGTTATCAGTTACTGATATTATTTCTAGCTGCTTATTTTTCGAGGGTACGATACTGAAGTATATCATTTTGTTTCTTTAGTTTCTGATAACTACACTGGTTCTTGTTATTACTCTATCTTTCACATCTCGTTTAAAATGACCTCTACAGATGAAATTTTCGATATAGTTATTGTTGGATGTGGTCCTGCTGGAATGGCAGCAGCAATCGGTTTACAGGCAGTCTCACAATTAAAATTTATTGTACTTGAAGCTCGTAATCGTGTTGGTGGTCGCGTTAGTACTGATACAACTACATTTGGTATAAATACACCTATTGATTTAGGTGCACAATGGTTACATCATTATCGCCCTGAAAATCCTTTGCGACCGTTCATAAAGAATGTACAGGTAAAGGAAAACAGGGTGGGTTACATCAAAACTGGACAGAAGGGAGAGAGTAAAACAATGCTGGGTGGCTAGATACTTACGATGAATGTTGCGAATAGCGGTCTAGAAGGAGTGTTGAAGTATATAAAGTAGAAATATGCACCTCTCCACAGACATTACAATAGAAATAACATAGACCATGACAGGCAGGATCAACACAGCGTGACAAACACATGATTAATAACACTGCCTCGGCATCACAGACTGTGGCAGACATTTTTGCTATATGATCAAAGACCGTTTATCAATGACGGCTCTTCGTGATATGTGAGCCACTTCCTTATTGCATTTCCGAAGGATTAAGTAAAAGGATGATAAAGAAATGTGTCACATAATGTATAGAATAAAATAATCTTCGTATCATTAGCAACAACAGTTACATCGTATTCAACAATTTAATCTCTCAGGGATTGCACTGACAGCAACTAGTAATTTACTCGAGCAGCAATATTAACGTTGTTAGATTTCCGAGAGCTATTTGTATAGAACTTCATTTTTTTTTGTTTCTACTATTTCTGCTCTATTTAAACAACAAATTTTTTGCAATAGATTATATATTTATCTGTTATTTATGTGAGATAAGTGATTTCTCTTTCTTATTTTCATGCCTGTTTTTGATATTTTATTTAATAAAAGTGAAGCAGTATATCTTAACAAGTAGGCTTTTCATAGAAAGCTGTTTTTTTTACACTGCATGCCAAGGAGAACCGAAAGAGATCAAAGAAACGGAACAGAGCGGAGCGAGTGATCAAAAACTGCGATATTTACCTGAACATTCTTTATGGATGACTATTTTATATAAATATCATGCAATATCTGAAGATATTAGTATTAATAATCTTTTTATTTCACATTCATTAACATCACCATTTTTTGATATTGATGGCACACGAATATCGTCCGATAAAGTTTATAAAGCCGAAGCACTTTCTAAACAACTATGTAAAATAGTCGAAGAATCCGCGCTTTCAATAGATAAATCATTGTTTGATGCTATCAAGAGTGAATATATGAATTATGATAATGATCCTCAAATAAAAAGATTACTTGATTTATTTCTTGGCATTATTGAACAATATGAAGGATCCAATCTTGATCAACTATCAGCTAAATCTTTTTTTAAATCCGATAATGGTTTTCCCGAATGTAATTTATCTTTGCCAAATGGCTTTGGTACTTTTATTGAAAAAGTTGTTCAACATCATCAATTACCTGTTGAATTTAATTGTATTGTTACTCGTATAGATACTTCATCATCGGATTCAATTGTTCGAATATATACTAAGGATGAACGAATACTTTTATCTAAATATATTCTTATTACAATTTCAATTGGATGTTTAAAATCTAGTTCAATTGAATTTATACCAAGTTTACCTGAATGGAAACAAAATGCAATAGATATTATGGGTACAGGACTGGCAAATAAAATCTTTTTACAATTTCCATTTGTATTTTGGGATCCTACATGGCCTTTAATATATTCTACATCACCTCGATTTCGTTTTTTTATATGTCGACCTAATGATTGTATACTTCAAATTAAGCTCGCTGCTCGAACAGCAATAGAAATTGAACAAAAAGATGATAAAGAAACAATTGATGAAGTTATGGCATTGTTAAGAACTATATTTTCAGATAGAGATGTACCTGAACCAATTAAATTTCTTATTACAAAATGGCATCAAGATGAATTTTCAAGAGGTGCTTATTCTAATTTTGCTGTTAATACAGATAATCAAACTTTAATCGATCTTGCTCGAGAATGTAATGGTCGTATACACTGGGCAGGTGAACATACAAATCATGATGGATCAATCGGCTGTGTGGATAGTGCTTTTGAAAGTGGGCAACGTGAAGCCAAAAAAATAATACAAAGAATAAAATTATAGATAATCATTTTTTGATTAAATGAAAAAGTATGTGTATGACATGCCGTGTATTGATTATAAATGCAATAAATTAATTGCGATAGTTTTAATAAAAAATAATAATTATTCTATTTTGAGTTTTAGAATAAAATATTTTTCTTAGAAATGTATGATTATATGTTGTCAAATGATCAGAAAATGAAAAGAACCATAAACCATTAAAAAAAAAATCTGTCGTTCAAAAAAAAAGGAAACCTTATTAAAACGAATGTTGAGAACTTTTTCGCTTCGAATGCAATTGTTCATATCAACTATATAAGTAACGCAAATCGAGACTCAATTCACTTGGGTCTGGATTGACGGGATAGAAATTTGCATATAGAACGTGGACGTGGGTGAAGAAGAGACTGGCATCGTAGTTGAAGAAACTTAACTCAACAATAAAATATTCTAACTATCCCGAATAATCTAATAGGTAAGAAATTAGCTTTAAGTATGATGAATAAATTTGTAAAAAAGAAATTTCATTTTTTACCAAAACATAATCCTCACTGTTATAAAAACTTATTTTAGGGTGTGGGTGTGTGAATGTGAAGCTAAGGCTGATGAAGACAAAGATACTGACACCCACACTCACAAGCATACCCTATTCATTAAATAAATTTTTCTTCTGTTATCCATCTTTACAATATGTCAATGGATTTTATTGATTAATAAAAAAAAGAGGATGATAATTAATTAAGATTGGTTCTCAACAATTATGTAGTTGAACTTGAATCAAAATTAAATTTTTCATATTCGATCATTCTTATAATCGATAACATAGGTTTTAGCCTTTCGATGATATTACAAAGTTGATTAAGAAACATTTAATCATAATAAAGAGCATATAAGAATGAAACAGATGAAGATTATGTTCCTATATCTTACTCATTGATTTAAGACTAATGGCTAACACATGCTTGATGTCACACTATATGATGTGATAGGACATATTTAATAGTCTTCTATTTGTTTGGAAACGAAAAAAAAGAATATTCGTCATAGGGTCGTATTATTTAAAACGAAAATAAAAATGGCGTTAGCAACAAGTATTTCATAGATAACTAATTTCTATTTTGTTTCTTCTTCATTAATCATTAAAATCACTATGTATTTTAGTTCATATTAAATAATATTTTTCCTTCTAGATTAAATCATATGGATTCATTGTTTCAAGAATTCCTTGATGAGAATTTAGAAAAGATTAAACGTCAATTCGACTATTTATTCATTTTTATTCATACCTTTATTGTGTACGAGTTTAAAATTGAGTGTAACACAAATACTTCTTTTTAAAAACTATAGGTATATGTGTTTGCTTTTTTTTTATTTCACAGAAAACAAAAAACAATTATTGATTTAGCTAAATCTGATGCAAACAAATATCGGGTTGATTATTCAATAAATGGCTGTTTTATTGAAATTATTTTTGTAAAACATCAAAAAACCATGAAAATTCAATTAAATGTAAGCAAATATTTTTGAACTTTAAGAAATTTTGTTTTTTTCGAAATTTCAGAATCGTAAGATAAATTTCCAGAAAAATATTGATTTGGATATAAATCATTATGTAGAAACAACAGAAGAAAGCACTTATAAATAAGATATTTTCTCAAAGAAATGTTTTTTTTATTCTTTTGTTTGTACATCAAACCATTTAGTTCCACTAACGAGGGAACACCCCTAGGTGAAGCTCCACTTTTGACGTGATATTTTGCCCATATATAGATCTTAGTGAGACTAGAAAATCTCTAAAAGGGTTTGGTTTTCTGGCGCTTCCTTCTTGAGCAATGGCCGTTTTAGCAAAATTTTGGCCATATGGTAGATACTTTCGAAAAATTTCATTTTGAGGATTTTGATCTGAAATTTTGTCGGTAGATAGCTCTTATAGATACTAGATTATCTTGAAAGTTTCGACAAAAAAGAATATATTCTTCTCGATATATTCAATTGGCAAAAAAAATCGACATTTGTCATACGAAAGATACAATAATTGAGTTTCCTGTAAAGTCAATATCTTGCGAACGATACATTCATTTTTATGGAAACTTTCAGGATAATCTACTATCTATAAGAACTATTTCCCGGCAAAATTTCAGATCAAAATCCTCAAAATGAAATTTTTCGAAAGTATCTACCATAGGGCCAAGATTTTGCTAAAACGGTCATAGCTCAAGAAGAAAGCGCCAGAAACTCAAACCCTTTTAGAGTTTTTCTAGTCTGACTAAGATCTATATATGGGCAAAATATCACATCAAAAGCGGAGCTTCACCTAGGAGTGTTCCCTCGTAAGTGAAAAATCATTTGCATTTATTACCGGTAAAAAGTTAAACATCAATGAAAATTCAAGAAGTTCAACAACAACAGAAACATTAACATTTACCTTCATCAGAAACAGTACATGTTCAAACACGAAGTATTTATATTTAAAAGAATTGATAAATGGAAGAATGACTATTTAAAAACACATTCGTACTGCACCATGTCATCGAAAATAATATAACACGATATACATCTTTCTTTTCTAAATAAAATATCTTTATGAATTATTATGATTTATAAG